ATTCGCTTTTACCTACGTGATGTAACGGCTCGTTCCATGACACATTCTGTCCTTAGTGCTCTAACAGAATGAATATTATTGTTCTCATGGAACTCTGTTTAAGCTCACTTCTGTCTGCATGCATTACAGTGTGAGATGTTGTTATCAGTCACAAGTCGTGTCTGTGATTTTGGTTATATTGTCACTAATCAGTTCATGATTATTGTTACCAATCAGTTCAATTGATTTATAATCAATTTATGGACATTAATCTGTTTATACTGTTCAGCCATGAACCAGTTGGTTCATGCCCCCCCCCCCCCCTCTTTTCAACTTCTTCTTCCCGTTGAAAGTTTTCCGGGGTATTCATGCTTTGTCAGAACGCATAGCTACACAACATGCGTCTGTGCATGGCACATAATTACGCGATGCGTAGTTATGCACATGGGGAGCTGAGTGACAAGACGTTTTTTGGGCAAGCTTCCGCTTCTTACTGTGTTCGAATGGACCCAGTGAGGCGAGGACCACATCGGCTTCGCCCTTTACCCACTAAAGCGAAGGCCTTAAAGGGCGAAGCTTATATGACATAGAACGTTGGTTACGTACTGTAACCCCAGATTCTATGAATATAAGCGTAGCCCTTTAAGCGTCGGGCCTCACTGGCTCCTAAATGGCTGAAGAAAAAAGCTATTTTGGGAGCCGATTTCCCGCTCTTAACGTAATTTATACGGACCGGGTAGGGCCCACACAGCAGGTGGGCGTGGACTAATTTTTTTCAGTGCTTATGCTCTGCATAACGGGATAAACCCACTAAAGCGAAGGCCTTAAAGGGCTACGCTTATATTCATAGAATCTGGGGTTACAGTACGTAACCAACGTTTTTCCACTGTTGCCACTGTGCTTGCTCAGGATGGGAGACTGCAACGAAGCCAAGATTCAACTTGTCTGCTGGATTCCTTAGATAGAGAACTTTACTAATTGGCTTTTATGTTTGTGAATGTTCCTGTAAAGTGCCCTGAGACAACTTTGTTGTGATTTGGCGCTATATAAATAAACTGAATTGAATTGAATTTTCCGCACCAGAAGCAGTTTTAACACAGGAATGAATCAATGTACAGATTTATGATGGCTTTAACTCAGGTTTTATTAAAAATGTTCCTTTCACTGTTACTGTATTTAATTTAGGTATTACAGCAGTCCCTTGATACTTTGCGGTTCGTTTTTCGCAGACTCGCTCTTTCGTGGTTCGTCAAGGTAAGATTGGACATGACACAATACTGATGGATGAGCCGCACGATCGGCATGGAATTTTTATTTAAAATAAATTATTTTTAATTATTTAGCACCTGCTGCACATGTGTGCAGTCCACATGTGCAGGGACAAGCTCCCCCCTGCAGCATGTCAAATCTCTGCTTTGTAGCAGAGAGAATCTGAGAATCATGGCATGATGTGCTCTTTTAGAGCGTTTAGAGTTTAGAAAATTGTTAGAGATACTGAAAGAGTGTGGGAAGGGTTCAAAACTCCTTAATATATACCTGTATATAAATACTATAATAAACTACAACTTACTACCACTACTACAATTTCATTCCATCTCATGTACCACGAGATGGAATAAAGTGTACTTGAACTTGAACTACTGTATCTGTACTACGCATACCACTAATCGCATGGGGGGGGGGGGGTGTCCCAAACCCCTGCAATAAACGAGGGCCTATTGTATTAAAAAACAGCTGATTATCTGGGGATTATTATTTATTCAGACAAAGCATTTATATCATCTGTCAACATTTCTACTTTGTTTTAGGATCTCTCTGATTCAGTAAATATTAAATCTGCAGTAAAAATGTGGAAATGTTAGATCTTCCTCCAGCGTTTGACATATTAAAGTACGATTATAGATGAATCAGCACAATCTTTACCAGGAGTAAAACCAGGAAGTGTGATGAAATGTCCTACAGAGACAATCACAGCAGTGCTTTCAGCCGTGTGTGCTGCTTTACAGCTTTGGTTGCATCATAGGTATCCAGTCACAACCCAATACACTCCTGTTTCAGCTGAAAGTGAGTTACAGATTTGAACACATTTACATTTTCAGACAATGCATGATCTGGTTTTTGTGTTCAGGAGTTTTACATTTCAGCTCATTTTGTAAGAGTTGAAATGAGAAACTTCAGGTCGGAAAGAAACACACCAAGTTGTAGCCGTAAAAACAAAAAGTACGGAGTGGGAGGCGCGTATTGAGGCCATCCATTATTATAGAACAACAGGGGCCGAGTAGATTTTACAAAACTGATTCTTCCTCCAACAGCTTTGGAGTGAGCTGCTGGAGGAAGAATCAGTTTTGTTGTGTGTTTCCTTGACTGATGAAGCCTTCTGGATGGAAGGTGAAACGTTTCAGCACAAAATAAAGAAACTGTCCAGTTGACCTGACTGAAAAATGTTGGTTTGCAATGTTAGCTTTAAAAACCCTAAAGAAAACAAAAACAAACCTGCACTAACGTCCAGGATTTACTGAGACTGTGACTCCGATATGAACCAGCTGAATGAACGTTATCTGTACTGGGCAGTATTTAGATACACTGAGCTGACTCACAAAACATCGTCTTTAAACAATGAGTCAACAACTATCTACTCCCACTGCACCGCCACAAAAATCCCTCAGGGGACACAGCTGGAACTCTCCACATCTATAAAAGGAACGAGGACAGGATAGTCAAAGGTCTATAAATTTCATGGCCATGTTTTTGTTCAACGCGTGGTAGACATATTAAAGTCCTCAGGTTTATAAACTGTTCTAAAAGCTTCTTAGGTCACGTTCACACTGGAGGTCTTCATGCTCAACTCCAATTTATTGCACAGATGACGGGGTTTTTTGCGTGTTCGTTCACATCATGAAAATGTGACCTCCGTCAGACTCCAGTGTGAAGAGTTTACAGTTCGGAGACGACCTGTATGTGCAGATGAAAACGTGACATCACACGCTGTGTCTGAGGAAGTAAATATGGATGCTACACATGTTAGCATGTGGGATTCTGAAGTTGTGCAATCAGAAGCAAACAAACTGCGTTTACATTTAATCTTGCCTCTTGACGGCTCCGCCGGCGCAGCGTTGTGTTTGTGGAACGACAGTGACGTACTGAAGGTATAAACAAACTCAAGTATGGATCCATCACGTTAGCATTAATACAGTCCAACACCAACGTTAGTATCAGATGTTTCTGTAGATTCATTCATCCAGGACTTGGAGCAAAGAAGAACCACCCAAACTTCTGTTCTGTAGCTGAAGACATGTGGAGTCCCAAGATTTAAACTAGACGAGGTCAACATTATTATTATTAATACTTGGACTGACCCACATACCCAGACCTCACTGATGTTATAGACCAGGGCTATTCAACTAAATTACTCAGGGGGCCACAGTTAGTGAATGCCAAGAGCTCAGGGGCCTGACATCCAGCAGTTACTGTCATTAAGTTTGTTTTATGGTTTAAAATCTACTTTTATTTAAAAATGAACCCATTGGTGGGCAAAACTGAGCTCACCTGAGGGTCTGATTTGGCCCCCGGGCCACGAGTTGAATAGCCCTGTAATAGACGGGATGAAATGAGACACGACCGTTCACTTTGAAAAACATCCGATACGTATCCAATACAGTACCATCCATCCATTTTCTTTACCCGCTTCTTCATTTTTGAGTCATGGGGGTCACTGGTGCCCATGTCCAGCCATCACTGTGCGAGAGGCGGAGGACACCCATGACAAAGATCAAACACATGTAAAGGTTAAGCCTGTTGCAATAAACAATAAATCAATCGCATGATAAATGAAAATTATCAATCTCATTTTCATTTATCAGCTTTATCGTTTTTTTTGTTTCTCTCTACAGAAGACACTGGATGACAAAAGGCTCAACTCCGGTGTTCTTCACTGACCCCTCCATTTCTCTTTAAAATCTGTTTAAACCGTCCAAAATCACGATTTTGTATCGTTAAAAAAGCATTTAAGCTGAGAAGCTAAGCTATGAGCTAAGCTAACAGGCCGCCCTCGGGGAAAAAATCTCCATCTTGTCGAAGCTCCAAAATTCATGTTTGAAACCAGTGCCTTCGTGTAAAAAGTTGCTTTTTTTCTGTAAAAAGAAGCTGAGAACTTGTTTACTGATTTAAAAAAAAAATTATTAAAAGCTTTGTGTGACAAATGCTATGCTAAAGAGCTCAAACCACACAGAGCGTTTGCCATTTTGAGAACCGAAAAAACAGGAAAGAGCGACAGCTCATATCAAGGGGCCTCCCTCCCATTTTTCTTAAAGAGACACGCTGCTCGCTCCCTCACTATCCATCCTTAGCTTCAAACAGTCTTATACTGCCATGCAGTGGTCAACAAAGGTACTAAACACAAAATTAAGCAAAATTTATTCTTAATTTGACAATAATTATTAATTATTGTCAAATTTCAAACAATATTATCGTTTATCGCAATATTTTCTGAGACAATTAATCGCCCAGCAAAATCTGTTATTGTGACAGGCCTAGTAAAGGTTGTGATTTACAAAAACAAAAAAAGTTATTTTAAAGTCACAAGCATTAAAACATTTAAAGTGAAGACACATTCAGAGACTGCTGGCACACAAAACTGTGTGTGTTCAACATTCCTGACCCTACTCTTTGCTCTGTAACAAAACAAGGCATTCACTGGAAACCTGATTATTATTCAGCACGTTGCACACAAACACAGACGCTTCGTACTTCACAGGACTTTGCAGTACACTAAATGAACCCAGAATATTTCTTACACTAAATCAAGTCTGCAAACTTAGAATGATAAAGAATGTCATCATATCTCAAAAAACTCCCCGACGTTCACATGACAACAAACGACCTGCACCCTTCTAGTGTGTTGGTTTAAGAATAAAGTGAATAAATGGAAGCTGGCGTGTGTGTGTGTGTGTGTGTGTGTGTGTGTGTGTGTGTGTGTGTGTGTGTGTGTGTGTGTGTGTGTGTGTGTGTGTGTGTTTGCACACCTCAAACTGGGGCCAGTTCATGCTCATGCCCGGTCCGTGGGTGTTCCTCCACCATCTGAGGTCTTCTGCTTCGTTGGCTGCTTGGATGGTCTGACCCAGGTCCCGGTACAGGTTTTTGAAACTGGAGAACAAAGCTGATGTTGGCCATCACTCTTCTTTTAGTAAACTGAACAACATATCGTGTTTTGTTTGACTCAACTAATGAAACATTTGTCACAAGAGCTTGTTTCATCTTCATATGTTCCAAGTGAACATTTGTTTGAGGTTATTCCACAGACAATTATATTTTAATCTGAGTATCTTAGTGCTTTATTTGCAGTAAACTGGTATAACTCTGCTGTTAGATTAGGCTGGTCCTGCTTTTATTCTTCAATTATCCTCATTGTCAGTGTGAAAGATTATAATAGTATAAATTTAACCAAAATTAAAAAACTTATTCTGTAGAAAATAGAATTCATGAAATAAAGAATTTAGTAAAAAAAATAAAATAAAAAGTGCATTGGTTAAAAATGTAAAGCCTTGATGCTACTCTTTAATGGACACATTTTCATGTACAGTAGTCCCTCGTTTATCCTGGAGGATCTGTGCCACGAAGACCTGCGATAAGTGAAAACCCACAAAGCAGGAATAGTAGTACAAGTAGTAGTTTTGTTTATATATATATATATATATATATATATAT